ACGCCTATCTGTGGGTCGGCCCTGCAAGGACATAACTGCATGTGACCTCAGGACTCTGCATGGCTATCTCCTCCAGACTCGCTCTGTGCTTGCCTTGGAGCAGACAGAGCTGTGACTCCCCGACTGCACCGTCATTATCTGATGTGCATGTTCTCTAACATGCACAGTGTGGCCAAAGCCAAGCAAACCCACAGAAATCCCCTCACCCTCCGACCCACTGTACTTCTTCAGGCTGGGCCTCCAGAAGTGCATCATCAAAGCCTCAGATTATACAGAGCATGTAAGTGATTACATCAAGGACAAGACCTGAGAGATAGGAAAGGAATTCGGTAAATAATAGTTGAATTTTGAAACTTTTAAATTAATCAAAACTCAATGACCTTTGGAGGTAGAAGAATATATCAACTGCATTTTTCCCCTCAATATTTTAATGCAGCCTAATTTCTTTAAAAATATCCATTTCATTATTCACATTTTAAATATTTTAATTATCCTTAACTTTCTTTTTACTAATACTCCCTTTCCAAGGACAGTTCCCCTGTGTTTACTATCTGAAGATTTTCTGCATTTTAAATGTAAGGTATCAAAATGAACTGCACTTTTCATATTTTTGGTTCACAAAAACAGTTCCCAGAAAATGAAATTATTTGTCCATACTTAAAAAGAGAAAAAATATAAAAATTCTTTTGAGGCAAATTCTTCTGATAAATTTGTTTCCACAAATTCCTAAACTTCTAAACAGAGCCAATCATTTCGAAAACTGAGACCAAAGCTACTTCTTTCTGAAACAAGATAATTAAAGCAAAGTCTTCTGAAAAACTGACTCAATTCTCCATTGTTCTCTGTTAGGGAAGATATCATCAAAATGACACAAAACATTTTTGTTGTTGTTGTTGTTAATCTTCACCCAAGGATATTTTTCCATTGATTTTTGGAGAGAGTAGAAGGGAGAAAGGGAGGGGAAAGAGAAATAAAATCACCAATGGGAGAGAGACCCAACAGTTGGTTACCTGCTCCACATTTTTGCCCTCCAGTAAGTAACAGTTCTGAAAAATTACCCATTGCCATCTCTTTTCAAAATATGTCTGTTGCCCTGGCCGGTTTGGCTCAGCGGTTAGAACGTCAGCCTGCAGTCCGGAGAGACCCGTGTTCGGTTCCCGCTAAGGGCATGTACCTCAGTTGCAGTTTGTCCCCGGCCCTGGTTAGGTTTGTGCAGGTGGCAACCACTCAATGTGTCCCTTTCACGTCGATGTTTCTCTCTCTCTCCTTCCACTCTATCTGAACAAAGAATGGAAAAATGTCCCCTGGTGAGGAGAAAAAAAAAATTAAAAGCAAAATATGTCTGTTATATGTTGCAATGTACTGAGACAGTTTTTATTTCAAAAAGAAGACAACCTAGTTTTATTTTTAAGAACCATCTGGTGGAGATTTATCTTCCACAAGGACAGGTATGCTTCTATTCTAGGGTTTCAAAGTTCTCCTTGCTAGAAAATACCAGGTAAAAAATAATTTCTGAAAGACTATTACAATTAAATGTCTTCAAACTTTGTCAAATAAATATATTCTGTAATAAACTGTGGAGTACCTCAAAATGCTAATATAATGTTTAATAGCCAAAAACTAGGTAGAAATGGATTGTGGGGTAAGGAAAATGTTAACTAACGATCAATGCTATATATGCAGATTATATTAAAAACTATATTAAAATGGGAAGACCATCAGGATAAGAACATTTAATTAAATTTATGTAGTCTTCCTCCAACCAAATACAAATCCAGCATTTCCACAAAAAAATTATATACCAAATTAAAATAAAATGTCAAAACTTTCTGGCATGACGATTACTTCCGTAGCTGTGCATGGGAAACTCACTGGTCCTTGCACCACTTGGAGAGATGCTGCAGTCTTGAGAATCTGACCTGGGCAATACCTAGTGTGCAGATGAAATACTTTCCGCACGCTTCTCTGTCTCTGCATGGCTACACGGTTCCCCACGCCACAGCAAGGGCAGGAGTTACCTTTGACTGTGTTCTTGCCCCACAGAAGCACTCAGGGTTGTGCCAGACACCGCCTCCAGCTCGTCTTCTTTGCCAGTCTTGCTCCCACACGTGTCCGTCCAAAGTTCAGCGTTGCGGGCAGGTGTCTCATTATGGAAGCCCGGTAGAAGAGGCAACACTATGGCCTATCAGAGGCACAGCTGAGAGCCCCACAACCTCATCCAGAGAGCTCGATCACTGACCATAACGGACTTTCCGTTGCTTGGGACGAGGTTTCTGTCTCACACACCTTTGCACCTTGGCTGCACCCTGCGAGGTCGGTGCGTGTTCTCCTCACACGTATTTTTCCCATTCTTCCCAGCTTGTAAGAGAACTCATTCAGGAGCTCGAGGGTCTGTGGCCAGGGGAGAATCTTAACTGATAACCTAACATTCTAAAGAGGAAAAGGGAAAAGAATGATGTTTCCCCACATTTTTTATCCTGAGCTATGATTACCTGCAGTTAATACAAGGGAAGCAAGTGACTGGAAGAACCGCTTTGCCTTCCTCCCAGACCCCAACAGAGGAGCTGCCCGCTCCTTTGTACAGAAGGACTTGCAGAACACACTGTAAAAACTATCTGGATTTGGACCTCGCTGGGTTGCTCAGTTGGCTGGGGCGTCGTCCCGTACACCAAAAGGTTGCAGGTTTGATCCCCAGTCAGGGTGCATACAGGAGGCAACCAATGGATGTTTCTCTCCCCCTTCCTCTCTCTAAAGTCATTAAAAAATATCCTCGGTTGAGGATTAAAAAAAAAAACAACACAAAAATCAAGCGACTATTGGATTTGGCTTTTAACAGTTATGCACACAGGACTCTACTGGTACAGAAAGGAAAGTAGGCCCCTCGGTATCAACAGGGAGGCAAAGGGAACACATGTCACTCACTTTGCCTTAATCCAAATCATTAACTCTTTCAACAAAGAATGAAAGTTGTAAGAGCATCATGGGAAACTTCTGAAACCAATGCATAAATTCTGATTGATGGCCATACGAGACATTCTTGGAAAATAATTAACTATTGCCAATGGCTACACACACCAAGTGCCTAGATTCAACATTTGCTATGTTGATTGGGGGCGGGGGGCAGAAAGCAAGTACAACAGCCCCTCATCCGTGGTGTCCTGTCTCCGTTTCAGTCTCCCGCAGTCCCTGGTGGTTCAAAACGACTGAGTAAAAGATTCCAGAACTAAACATTCATAAGTTGTAAATCACACGTCATTCTGAGTAGCCTGATGAAACCCGTGATGTCCTGCTCTGTCCACTCAGGACAAGTCTTCCCTTTCTCCAGCATCGCTACTGGATACACTACCCGCCCCTTAGTCACTGAGTCTTGGTTATCAGGTCGACTGCCGACGTAATACAGTGCTATGTTCAAGTGACCCTTATTTTATTAATAATGTCCCATTTACTTCACTACGTAGGCATCGTATCATCTCACATCATCACAAGAAGGCTGAGTCCAGTACAGTAAAATATTTTGAGAGAAATCACGTTCCCGTAACTTTTATCACAGTATATTGTTATAACTTCTATTTTACCATTAGTTATTGTTACTCTCTTACTGTGCCTAATTTATAAATTAAACTTTATCATAGGTGTGTACATATAGGAAACAAACATAGTGCATATAGGGTTCGATACTGCCTGACGCATCCACTGGGGATCTGCCTCATGAATAATTTACATGCCTTGCCCTTCTTTGGTGTGTAATGACCATTACATCAATAGAAACTAGTCTACATTTGGAAATCAATATAAAAAAGCAAAGAGTTACCCTGGCTGGTTTGGCTCAGCAGTTAGAGCATCGGCCTGCGGTCCGAAGAGACCCGGGTTCAGTTACCGCTCAGGGCGTGTACCTCGGGTGCAGTTTGCCCCAGGCCCTGGTTGGGTCGTGCGAGTGGCAGCCACTCGATGTGTCCCTTTCACATCGATGTTTCTCCCTCTCTCCCTCCCTCCCACTCTATCTCTCTCTCTCTCCTCCTCCCCCTCTATCTGAACAAAATATCGAAAAATGTCCTCGGGTGAGGAGTAAAAATAAATAAATAAATAAATAAATAAAGCAACGAGTTAACTCACTGACATCCCCATTATTGCTCCATCACCTGGACCCAGATTCATTGGTTTCCACAGGAAGATGATCTCCCAGAATTTCCATTTTCCCCAACTTCACATGACATGAGGGGGTCCTCGCGAGCCGGTGTGGCTCAGTGGAATGAGTGTCGTCCCATGGACTGAGAGGTCCCTGTTCAATTCCTGGTCAGGGCATGTGCACGGGCTCAGCCCCTAGCAGGGGCGTGCAGGAGACAGCCAATCAATGTATCTCTCTCACATGGATGTTTCCATCTCTCTCTCCCTTCCTCTCTCCCTAAAAAATCAATTAAAACACAGTTTACAAAAATAAAAAGGGTTCCTGAAGAGTTGACTGGCCTGCACCAGCTCTGCGTTCCTCCCTCCTTCCTACGTGGGAACTGAATGTGTGTCTTCTGCTGCTTCAGCTCCTTGGAATTCCACTGCCTCCCGACACTAGTTCCCTAAACACACAGCACTGTCTCCAGAATACATCCCAGGAGCACATTCTTGACCTGGGTCATTTGCTCGTTTCTCAACGAGCTCTTCATCCTCCTAACCCCCAATCTGTTCATCTCCAGGTTTGGATGATCCCTTGCACTTGACAACACAGGGAGTTTCCCACGATAAGTATGACTGCTAAATTTTGCAATTAATGTGTTTTCCGCCCCCTCCAGTTATAGCCTCATCCTATTTGGATTGGGTCTCAGCCTTGGCCTACTTCTGTCCCCACTTCTCCAATCCACGGAAGTATATCGACATCAACTCCACTTACGCAACAGCTTCTAAATCTCCCTTTCCTGAGCTCCAGCCCTGTACTCCGAGCAGCCTAGGGTGCACTCCCAGGTTCTTCAAATGCAATTAAACATAACTCATCACCTCCACACTCTTCTTCCTCACTTTTCTCCATTGATGGCGTCATCATGCCTGTAACCACCCACCCCAGAAACCTCAATTCTCCCAGACTCTTCCCTTTTGCTTAGCCCTGTGTCCAAGTGGAGACACAACACTGGCCATTCGACTCCCTGCAAGTCTTCCGTGGGTTTGCCTCCTCTCCGCTCCCCTTTTACTCACCAGGTTTGGCCCCCCACTTTCTCCAACCTCTGATGTCTCTCCGCATTCTCTGAGTCCTGACACACAATCTACCAGGACATACTCCCTTCCCGCCTTCTCCTGGGGCTCAGGGCCACGCAGCACACACAAGGGCCCTAGGTAAGCACTCCTTAATTACAGAAGCGACTTGGGATCCCTGCGCCCTCAGGCTTCTCAGCGGCTGTAAACTCTGTCACCTGGCCCCTTCCACCTCCCACCGAAGTGGGCTGTGCTCCTTACCACCCACCAAATCAACGCCTGGCAGTGGATCCTGCCTCTAGCTCAGACCTACCCTCCAGTCTCACCATTCACACTCTCCCTCTCACGACTTTGCTCAATCCAGCCAAACCCAGCCAAGCATCATCCCCAAATGTCCCTTCCTGCCCCTTGCCTGGGCCCCAGCTGCTTCCACACACAGGATGACTCTCCTTCACATCTTTCTGTCAAAACCATTCCCAGTGTTAAAGCACAGATCAAATGCCACATTCTTCCTACAAGTTTGATTCCTCCAGACAGAACTACTCTCTTCCTCTTCTCTCCTCTGAAACTTCGGTGATGACTGGTTTTGCACAAGTATTTTCTTCCCACTATTAGAGAAGTAGGATCATCAAGTCCTTTGAAGCAGTGCTTTTCAGACGCCCTGTGACAGAACAACTGGAGTCTTGTTTTAAAAACCAGACAAAACCAAGGCACTGCAGATCGGAGTTTGCTGAGCTGGAACTCGGAGCTCTGACTTTGCAGAGGAAGCTCCCGGGGAGGGTGCCCAGGGACGCTGGCAGCCTAGAGTTGCAGGAATGGGCCTGGAAGTTAGTCACATTTCAGTAATATCTTCATTTAAAGATAGTTTTCAGGTTAAAAAGCTGAAATCATGACACTGATACAGATAGAAAAGAAAAGGAAGGCAACTCAGTCAATGAAGGAAACAGGCAGGTGCACCACCTGTTCCAAGAGACTCTGGAAACGACACGCTGACATCAGTTGCGAAGCGGCTCAAGGATGGTTAGTGGTGATGACCGGATAAAGAGGGTGAGAGGGGACGAGGGGACAATCCAGAGGAATTACCGTGGCTCAGAGACATGACAGGCAGGGCCAGACGACCCGGAAGGTGTCCTCTAGGCAACACAGAGTTTTTTCCTGAAACATGACACAGTTGGCCCTCATTCATCATGTTAATCAGTCCCAGACTCAACCGCGATAAATGAATTTCCGAGAAGTAGGGTTCTTTACTCATACAGTGGTCCCTCGCCACTTCGCACTTCAACTTTTGCAGCTTCACTCTATCGTGGTTTTTTCAAATGTAGTGTAGTGTAGTGCACTGTAGTGTAGTGAACTATAGTATAGTGTAGTGTACTGTAGTGTAGTGTACTACAGTGTAGTGAACTATAGTATAGTGTAGTGTAGTGCACTGTAGTGTAATGAACTATAGTATAGTGTAGTGTACTGTAGGGCACTGCAGTGTAATGTTCTATAGTGCACTGTAGTATAGTGTGCTGTAGTGTAGTGTAGTGAACTATAGTATAGTGTAATGTACTGTAGTGTAGTATACTGTAGTGTAATGAACTATAGTATAGTGTAGTGCACTGTAGTGTAGTGAACTATAGTATAGTGTTGTGTACTGTAGTGCACTGTAGTGTAGTGAACTATAGTATAGTATAGTGTACTGTAGTGTACTGTACTACAGTGTAGGGAACTATAGTATAGTGTAGTGTACTGTAGGGCACTGCAGTGTAATGTTCTATAGTGCACTGTAGTATAGTGTGCCGTAGTGTAGTGAACTATAGTATAGTGTAGTGTACTGTACCGTACGTAGTATAGTGTTCTATAGTGCACTGTAGTGTAGTGAACTATAGCATAGTGTCGTGTACTGTAGTGCACTGTAGTGTAGTGAACTATAGCATAGTGTCGTGTACTGTAGTGCACTGTAGTGTAGTGAACTATAGCATAGTGTCGTGTACTGTAGTGCACTGTAGTGTAGTGAACTATAGCATAGTGCAGTGTACTGTAGTGCACTGTAGTGTAGTGAACTATAGCATAGTGTTGTGTACTGTAGTGCACTGTAGTGTAGTGAACTATAGCATAGTGCAGTGTACTGTAGTGCACTGTAGTGTAGTGAACTATAGCATAGTGTTGTGTACTGTAGTGCAGTGTAGTGTAGTGAACTATAGCATAGTGCAGTGTACTGTAGTGCACTGTAGTGTAGTGAACTATAGCATAGTGTCGTGTACTGTAGTGCACTGTAGTGTAGTGAACTATAGCATAGTGTCGTGTACTGTAGTGCACTGTAGTGTAGTGAACTATAGCATAGTGTTGTGTACTGTAGTGCAGTGTAGTGTAGTGAACTATAGCATAGTGTCGTGTACTGTAGTGCACTGTAGTGTAGTGAACTATAGCATAGTGTCGTGTACTGTAGTGCACTGTAGTGTAGTGAACTATAGCATAGTGTCGTGTACTGTAGTGCACTGTAGTGTAGTGAACTATAGCATAGTGTCGTGTACTGTAGTGCACTGTAGTGTAGTGAACTATAGCATAGTGCAGTGTACTGTAGTGCACTGTAGTGTAGTGAACTATAGCATAGTGTCGTGTACTGTAGTGCACTGTAGTGTAGTGAACTATAGCATAGTGTCGTGTACTGTAGTGCACTGTAGTGTAGTGAACTATAGCATAGTGTCGTGTACTGTAGTGCACTGTAGTGTAGTGAACTATAGCATAGTGTTGTGTACTGTAGTGCAGTGTAGTGTAGTGAACTATAGCATAGTGCAGTGTACTGTAGTGCACTGTAGTGTAGTGAACTATAGCATAGTGTTGTGTACTGTAGTGCAGTGTAGTGTAGTGAACTATAGCATAGTGCAGTGTACTGTAGTGCACTGTAGTGTAGTGAACTATAGCATAGTGTTGTGTACTGTAGTGCAGTGTAGTGTAGTGAACTATAGCATAGTGCAGTGTACTGTAGTGCACTGTAGTGTAGTGAACTATAGCATAGTGCAGTGTACTGTAGTGCAGTGTAGTGTAGTGAACTATAGCATAGTGCAGTGTACTGTAGTGCACTGTAGTGTAGTGAACTATAGCATAGTGTCGTGTACTGTAGTGCACTGTAGTGTAGTGAACTATAGCATAGTGTTGTGTACTGTAGTGCAGTGTAGTGTAGTGAACTATAGCATAGTGCAGTGTACTGTAGTGCACTGTAGTGTAGTGAACTATAGCATAGTGTCGTGTACTGTAGTGCACTGTAGTGTAGTGAACTATAGCATAGTGTCGTGTACTGTAGTGCACTGTAGTGTAGTGAACTATAGCATAGTGTTGTGTACTGTAGTGCAGTGTAGTGTAGTGAACTATAGCATAGTGCAGTGTACTGTAGTGCACTGTAGTGTAGCGTAGTGCACTATAGCATATAGTGTACTGTACCATACGTAGTGTAGTGTTCTATAGTGCACTGTAGTATAGTGTGCTGTAGTGTAGTGTAGTGAATTATAGTATAGTGTAGTGTACTGTAGTGTAGGTCTTTCTGAAGGAAGAACATGTCAAATACACTTCGTAGTGCCTTTTCACCCTGGTTGTTTAGAAATAAGTAATGCTGTTTGATTTCTAACGCAGTAGACTGATTAATCTGTATGAAAACAACCAAGTCCCGGGACCACAAAGAGAAGCAGATCTCAGGGAGGGTGTGAGGTTCAGGTTCCGTCCACCATACATTCCCTTGCCCCTGCTGCATGTCTAACTGTATCACATGCCAAAACACACAAGTAATCAGGACAAGATCTCTGTTCACAAAGAGTCAAGTTCTCCTGGTTGATCTCTCTCCTTCTAGATCCCTAGCCTCCTCGCTAATTTACAATCTCACACTTACCCTGGGTCTGACATTTGCACTCCTCTGTGCAAACCAAGTGATCTTGGTTTCCCTACTTCATTACCTCCCTGCTCTGGGCTGCTTCTGCTCCTGGCACTGCAGCTAGGCGGATCAGATGACACCTTGTCTGATGCAAACATATCCTCGGTACCCTACCAAGGTTCCAGCACACCTTGCCACTACAGTGCCCTCAAACCAACCCTCCCCACAGCTGGATCTGAACTGCTTCTCAGAGAACAACATCTTGAGTCATTATGAGTAGATGGTGTGCAAGAAATAGGACCATGGAAGACAAATGTTATTAGAAATCCACCCGGGGCTATGGATGGAGGTGGGGGGTGGGTGGGAAGAGAACAGAAAAGAGGAAAAGAAGAGAGACAGCAGACAGAACCCCGTCACAGCATCCCCGAATACTTGTTAAATGTATAACTCTAAGATATTTGCATTTCTTCAACTCCCCTCATTCTTCCTGATCTTCAGCAAGCCTTCCTGACCCCTGAACCTCCCCACCACACACACAGAGTGAGCCGAGGGGTGGGAGGTGAACTCAGGCTGCCAAGCCCCTCTGCAGGCAGAATGGAGACAGCAGGCCCAGAACAAGGGCCCAGTCCAGAAGCCGAACCCACCGTCAGCCCAGGGCCCCAGGTAATGCCAAGTCAAGGACATCGGAGGAACTGGCAGGACATTCCGGAGGTCCTGAACTCTTTGTGTAATGGGACTTGAAACCAAAACGTATCTGGATAAAAACAAAACTCATGATCTCGACTGACATCCATGTCACGATTCCACTTGTCCTTTCAAGGGCGCACAGGCTCCAGAGGCCTGCCTCCCCTGTCCCACAGAGCCGCGAGCCCACCCAAGGCCCCGGCCAGGCGCCCGGACATTCCTCGCGGGCCCACAGAAATACTTCAGCCTTCACGGTCCAGGTGGTAGCTGTAGACAATGTGTAAGTGAATGGGTATGGTGGTATTTGAATGCAACTTTATTTACAAAGCCAGGCACTGGCTTGTGTCCTGCTCCTTCTGTTGTTGACAGTGCAGTCGAAGTCCTCTTTCCAAAGGTCACTCCTTTGTTTGGACCCTGGAATGGCTTCCCACTGTCCTGAGGATGAAGTCCAAATTCCTTCTCAGAGGGAACAGACTGCACCCCTCTCCAGCCATTCCTGGCCCCTGACTCAGTTTTTCAGCACTACTGAACTCCATCCAATGCCCCTCCTGGTTCTCTTCCGCCCGTACGTCTGCATGTGCTGTTAGAACAGCCCTCCCTCCCGCAAGCCCTGCACCCCACCCCTCCCCACCCCAGCCTAGCTGATGTCTATTCATCTATATTTCAAGTTTCCCATTAAACACCACTTCCTTCAGGAAGCTTTCCCTGGCCACGAAGGTCTCACGGTGTTGAGGCTCCCGGTCCAGCTGTCCGAACCAGCCGTCACTCTGAGGCCGTGGGGGCAGGGAGCGGCCTGACTCATCGCCATGTTCCCAGGCCCTCCACAAAGAACTGGGGAACCCTGACTGACGAAGAAGGAAACAAGAACAGACCCCAAAACGGAGGGGACCCTCAGAGGCGAAGCGGCGGAGCATGGGCTGATGTGTGAGCTGTTCCCTCTGTCCCAAGTCTGCTTCTTCCACGTTTCATGCTTTGCCACTGAGCTTGCAGAGAGGGTTCAGAAACATACAACTAACTTTGGATTTGCTGGTGCAGCAACCAAAGTCCTGAGTGGTTTCCCTCCGCCTGGATCTCAGAACGGAGTGTGCTCACCCTCTTTGGTGCTGGTCTCAGCTCGCATCCTGGCTAAGCCTTGTAGACAGTGCTCTCTACACTTGGTGACGGGCTTGCCTTTCCGACGCATGCTCACACTGCCAGTGTCCCGTGGTGGGCATGTTCTACATGCCAGGCAGCCAGGCCTGTGGGGCTTCGTCACAGAGTCCTCATTCAAGCCTCCCGATGATGTCAAGAGAGACTCCTTTGAATGACTCCCACTTAACGAATGAAGATCTAGAGGTCAAGCAGCTGGCCGAGGAAACAGAGCGAACGGCAGGAAGAAGTCTGAGCACAGAGCTCGGGTTTCTGCCTCCTGGCACCACGCATCTCTCCAGGACCATGTCTGCCACCGCACGCCGCCGCTCCGGGACACATGCCTGCCCCTGTGCACTGCTGCCGGACACGTGTCTGCCACCACACGCTGCCGCTCCGGGACACGTGTCTGCCCCCACGCGCCGCTCCCGGACACGTGTCTGCCCCCGAACGCTGCTCCCAGACAAGTGTCTGCCCCCCCATGCCGCTCCCAGACATGTGTCTGCCCCTGCACACCGCTCCTGGACAAGCCCAAAGTCTTCAGAGCCCCCCTGCAGGGCGCATCCTGGGTCTTGCGGGCAGGGTGGCTGGACCCGAGGTGACCCTAACAACCATGACTTACTGAGTGCAGCCACTGTGCTAAGCGCTGCTAACATGTGACCTCATTAACCTTCACAGACCCAAGTGAGGAAGACAAAGTTAGCTCTTGCAGAGATAAAGGGATCGAGGCACAGAGAGGTCAACTGCTGTGTCTGAGGTCACTCAATGGGCAATGGGAGGGTTTGGGATTTAAACCAGGAAGCCTGTCTCCAGCCTGCACCCCTGGGCAAGACGACAACAGCAGCATAAAGAACTCCTCAGGCCTCGTGGGACGAGGTGAAAAGTATGGGTGAGGGTGAATGATTCGGCTGCCATTAGCCGGGACAGGAGACCGTGCTAACGATGACTTGGTTACTTATTGCTGCCTAAACAAATGACCCCAAAGCTTTTTGGCTCAGAACAACGATCCCATCCTGACAGTCCTGTGGGTCAGCCACTGGACCGGAGTGTGGCTGGGCTGTTCTGCTGTGGCTGAAACAAGGGCCCACGGGCCAGGCGCAGCGTGTTGCCCGCTGGCGCTGCTGCGAGCCCCGGTCTCCCTCCACACCGCCTTCCGTCCTCACCGCGGGCAGAGCGGAGCCTGCAAGGCCCGAGGGCTCACGATCCCCACACCGTGTCTTTGGCTGCATTTTACTGACCAAAGCAAGTCCCAAGGAAGCCCAGACACGAGAAGTGAGTTCTGAGGCCGGCCACCCGATGGGAGGAACAGGAACGTCACAGGGCAACGGGGCGTGTGTGGAGGGTGGGTGGGTTTGTGACCATGCCTCGCAACCTCCCGCAGAGGAGGAAGGTGTTTAAGGAGAAGTGAAGTCATTTCAGTCTCAGACGCGTTGGGGTTAAGGTTTCTCCTGTGGTAAATCCATGCAAAGGGATCCAGTATTTAGATAATGTCGGTCTAGAACATCAAAGAGAATCCCGACTGGACATCCAAACCTGAGAGCTGCCGACTCAGAGGTGAAGCTTTCTGCACACACAAAGAAGAACCCCAGGAAGGCTTTATGAGTTAAGGTGAAGGTGGTGACAAGATTCCACTACCCCCCAACCACGTAACATGGGAGCACACGGCCTTCCACACGCCACCCCCGACCACATAACATGGGAGCACACAGCCTCCCACACACCACCCCCGACCACGTAACATGGGAGCACACAGCCTCCCACATACCACCCCCCAACCACGTAACATGGGAGCACACAGCCTCCCACACACCACCCCCGACCACGTAACATGGGAGCACACAGCCTCCCACACACCACCCCCGACCACGTAACATGGGAGCACACAGCCTCCCACATACCACCCCCCAACCACGTAACATGGGAGCGCACAGCCTCCCACACACCACCCCCGACCACGTAACATGGGAGCACACAGCCTCCCACACACCACCCCCGACCACGTAACATGGGAGCACACAGCCTCCCACACACCACCCCCGACCACGTAACATGGGAGCACACAGCCTCCCACACACCACCCCCGACCACGTAACATGGGAGCACACAGCCTCCCACACACCACCCCCGACCACGTAACATGGGAGCACACAGCCTCCCACACACCACCACCGACCACGTAACATGGGAGCACACAGCCTCCCACACACCACCCCCAACCACGTAACATGGGAGCACACAGCCTCTCACACACCACCCCCGACCACGTAACATGGGAGCACACGGCCTCCCACACACCACCCCCCACCACGTAACATGGGAGCACACGGCCTCCCACACACCACCCCCCACCACGTAACATGGGAGCACACGGCCTCCCACACACCACCCCCCAACCACGTAACATGGGAGCACACAGCCTCCCACACACCACCCCCCACCACGTAACATGGGAGCACACGGCCTCCCACACACCACCCCCCAACCACGTAACATGGGAGCACACAGCCTCCCACACACCACCCCGACCACGTAACATGGAAGTACACAGCCTCCCACACACCACCCCCCAACCACGTAACATGGGAGCACACGGCCTCCCACACACCACCCTCCCCTCTCAGGGGCCAACCACGGCCCAGCCAATTTCTGTAGCCAACTCAAGGCCCTGGACCTCTGAGGAGAACAGCCTTCCCTTTTACATCCAGAGATGGCCACGTACAAGTCAGTGACCTATAAACAAAAGACAAGTTACTTGATCCTCTGCTCA